GGCCGGGCCTCTTGCACCTTCGCTCTGGTAGCCCCCACCGGAGCCTCCGCGGGTGCAGGGGGATGAGAGGTGCCCTGCTTTGCTGCCGACTCTTGTACGGGGGCGGCGCGGTCAGGCCTGGCTCCGTGCTGCAGGAGAAATCGCAGCGGCTCCTATAGGCCGGGGGCGGGGTTGCGCGAAACGCCCTGTGTTGCTGCCTGCGCGGGGTACACGCGGCCTCCATGTGCGGTGCAGCTGGCAGGCGCAGGCTGCGTGGTGCAGGCAGCAGGGCTGGCTGTTCGTGCTAATGCTGTCATCTCTCCAGGTCCAGCATCGCCCCACCAGCATCGAGTGGGATGGCTGTGATCCCCACAAGCTTTACACCCTGGTTCTCACAGACCCAGATGCTCCCAGTAGGAAGGACCCAAAGTTCAGGTAATGGGGGTGGGCAACTCCCTGTCTTACCTGGGATAAATGGAGCATCCCTCTTGATCTGAGCAAAGGCTTAGAAGGAGGTTGGGAACGCGCTCTGCATAAGGTGCAGCAGTGAGTCTGTGGCCTGGGCTAGAAATGATGCCCTTGCATCTCTCCTTGAGATAGGGAGGGCGTGGGGAGGAGCAGCTGCTTTTGCCAGGGGTATTAGGAGGTCTGTTGTAGCTTGGAGAAGTGCAGCATCTGCTGTTTGCTGTAATTTGGCACATGTGCGAGTTGGAATTAGGTCTGTCTGCGCTAGCAGTGGAGTGTTCAACGTGGGACCAGCTCACCTGTTTCCAGTCAGGCTCCAGAAGTGTGTGGAACACCTGCTCTTAGGGGTCAGGGAAGCCCAGAGCCATAAGGCAGGATGACAGAGCTGATTTTGACAAGCTCTGTGTCCTGAAGGAAGCAGCACCTGCTCTAGGACTGGTGCTCTTTGGCAAACCAGGAAGGGCAGCTCTTAGCTTCCGTTACCCTACGCTGACAGCCTTACGGAAAAGCAGCAGCTTGGTGTAACGAAGGGTCTCAGCTGGGGCTGTGATGCAGTCAGGTTGGGTTTTGCCTTCTTTCAGGGAATGGCATCACTTCCTGGTGACCAACATGAAAGGCAACGATGTGGGGAGTGGGACTGTGCTGTCAGATTACGTTGGCTCCGGACCTCCCAAGGGAACAGGTCAGTTCCTGCCGCAGTGGTTCCCACGCTCTGAGCACAGCGGTGCCGCGTGGATCAGCCACGGTGCGCAGGGGAGGGTGGGGAGGCCTGCAGAAAACTGGCTGCTGGCTTGGCATGTGCTGGGCAAGCGGCGTGCCGTGCTGCAGAAATGGCCCATGCGGGACTGCATGCGGCCGCTTGTAGCCACAGCCAGCGCCGACGCGCGTCGCCACCGTCCCTTTGTCTGGCGACAGGCCTGTGCCGCTCTGCCTGCAGTTGGTCGGCAGTGTTGCCTGGTGGGGGGAGCGCTAGCCTAGGCAGGACACGAGCTATCTGAGTGTATCATCTAGTGCATCTTTAAGCTCCTTTAGCTCCGTTGTGCTCAGCCTTCTGATGCTGGAGAACACAGACCTCTGTTTCCCTGGGAATTGCAAGTGGCTGGCCCTTGTAACACTGTCTCCTCCCCGCAGGGCTGTTTTGTGTGTCAGCAGCCGAAGCAGCTGAGCTGCAACGAGCCCGTCCTCTCTAACCGCTCCGGTGACAAGCGAGGGAAGTTCAAGGTGGCGTCTTTCCGCAGCAAGTACGAGCTAGGGGTGCCGGTGGCTGGCACTTGCTACCAGGCAGAGTGGGATGACTATGTGCCGAAGCTCTACGAGCAGCTGTCGGGGAAGTAGGGTGAGGGGACCTGAAGAAGCACTGTGCAGCACCCCCTGCGCCCCTGGAGACCAGGCGGTCAGAGCACGTCGCTGTAGTTTTGATTAGTGAGTTGAACCCAACTGCTCCTGCACTGACTGCTGGAACCGTAACCCTGTCACTGTCCCCCGGCCTGAACCTGCTTCCGTGTCAGTGTGCTCCAGCTGACCCCCCGTAGGCGCGCGCAAGCTAGATGAGCTGTCCCCATGAGGGCCACCCCCTCCGGGCTGACCTGCATAAGGGAACCCAAAACCTTCTGTGAATTCATCCCACTTCAGAGCGTCTCTGCTGTGCCGAAATGGTATTACGTGGTGTGGGTACAGAACCACTCTGGGTTGGTGCTGGCTGTGTAGTGTCCCCTCTCCAGGAGGGAGAATGGCAGTCTAAGGGAAACTACCCTTTTTGTTTTTTCAAAAAATTTTGTTTTTACCCTCAAGTATTTGGCCAGTGCCTCCACTTCACTGAAGTGAACCGCTGCAGTAGTGAAGGGATAGCTGGTCAGAGGTGGCAGGGAACCTATTCTCTGTGTCTGCTCAAAGCTGAGAAAGCACTTCATTTTGTTCTGTTGTGACCTGATGTTAATTTGCTGTTTGCTCACAGTGCAATTAAAAACTTACCACGGTGGATGGTGTGGTTGTCTTTTTGGGGGATGAGGGGAGCGTTACATGAGCAGCATGGTGTCAGCAGGTTCCTTTCCTCCTCCTGGCCTAAGGAGGTTGGGCCCTCTGACAGGAGCTCCAGGTCCTGGCAGCGCTGACGCAAGCGGAGGAATGCAGCTCACAGCAGTCACATCTTTCCATCCAGCACCCCCTACCTCGTACACATTTACATCTACTGCCCCTGAGGAGCAGCTTGTGGCAGTAAAGGTTGGTGGCAAACAGCCTCCCTGTGGCTTCAGCCCACCTTTGGGCAGCTGGCAGAGGAGCCAGTCGCTCCCTCTCCTGTGGGATCTTCCCCACAGAGCTTTCAGCTCCCAGACAAGCACCACCAGCTGTGCTGGCCTGAAGCCACTTCCCAGCCAAGCTGCAGGTCCTGGTGGTTTTCCTGATCCCCCAACAGCTTGTGTCACAGCCTGGGGGTGGGGGGAGTCTCCTAACTGCTTAAGGCAAAAAATGAACCTTCAGAAATCTGATGTCTTTAAAAGGTTAAAAAGCCATGAAGCCACTGTAGTTTAACTTAGAACTAGAAGCCTTCTGATTTTTTTTTTAAATTTTTCCTTTCTCAAAGCTCTGCACCCAAGGGGTTTGAGAAACAGGTACCAAAAACCTCAACATGCCACAGCAGGGCCCTGTGAAAAATCAAAGAGACTCTAACGAAGATGGCAGTTGGTTTCTGCCTCAAGGTAGTTTTTTTTTTTTTCAACCCAGCCACTGAAACATTAAAACAGGACCAATGGTTTTTCAGGAAAACAGCCCCTGCTACCCGAGCACAGAGCCAGGGGTGTGGGGCAGGTGAACTCAGCCGCACTCCACCGTGCTCAGCAAGGGCCAGAGGCAGGAGATAAAAAAAGGAGCCAGAGCAGAGGTGGGTGCCACCCTGGTGCAGGGACATCTCCCCCCCCCGCCCTTTGGGCTGTGCCACTCTTCCCACAATGAGACAGCCAGGCAGTGTGATGAACACTTTTATTTACAAATATAATTAAAAGCTCTGACAGTTATTCATGCTCTTCCTTGGAACCTGAAAAATGTTTTTGTTGTTTTGTTGGTTTTTTTGTTTTTTTGTTTGATTTTTTTTTAAAGTGCATGCAAAAGAAGTAAAGCCTTTTTTTTTAATCTTTTTATTGTAAGAAAATACACAGTTTGAAAGTGTGAATAATGCAATATTTATGACTGAGATCATGGGGTTGGGGGTGGACTTGGGGGAGGAACAAAAGAAAACAAAAAACCAAAAGAACAAAAAAAATAAAAAGAAAAACCAAAAAGGGCTGGGGATGATCTGACAGACAGTGTTGGACTCCAGGTACTGAACCAGAGAGTGGGCAGGGGGGCTGGGAGCAGGAGGGAAGGGGAGGGGAAAGAAGTAAAAAAATTTTTGATCAGAGAAACAGTTAAAATACAATATGAAAATAAGTAAAAGCTCTCCTTAAATTCCTTCTATACACAAAATACACGATTTGACAAAGCCCAATTTGTGCTACTGGGATCCTGTGGGCTCATTTAAGTGTATTCACATTCTCTGCGACAGCAGAAAATGATTATAATACAATCAAGAATATGCCGAGGACTGAGGCCTCGTCCCCGCCTCGCCTGGCATGGTTCTTCTAAAAATCACCAGATCTTCGCCCCGTCCCTCCCCACCCCCAAAAAAGTAATAATATGTCACCACTGATATGTACATCACGATTAAGGTTTTTTTTTTTCTGTAAAATGTATCAAATTTTTCAATCTTTAATAAAATTTTTTTATTATTTAATTATTCCTGATGAATAAATACCAAAAAAATAAAAATAAAATAAAATTATGCAGCAGCTAGTTAAGGTAAGGCTGCGGATTTAGTCTCTCTCCCCCTGGGTTTGTATATATCTTTTGATTATTATTATATTTTTTTTTTTGCTTGTACTTTCATTGATTGGTGGTAAAATGAGTGATTGCTCAAAAGCAACATACATCCACTTTTTTTTTTCTCCATTAAAATTGTCTCCAAAGTTTTCACTGAAACATTTTTAATCATTGCACAGAGACATCAATACTGTGACATACTATGGAAAAGACCGCCAGGAGCTGTCCTGCACCGGGACTTGACACAGGGGGAAAGGGGCCCCTGATGGAGTAAGAATATACAGGCACTAGTCCGACACGATGTCAGTAAGAGAGACAGAAAGAGAGAGAGCACGCCCGTTAACATGGGGAATGTTGGTTTTGCAAGTTTTGTAATTATTTTGTTTGCTTTTTTGTTTTTTAAATGGCGAAGAAATTTAATCTCATCTATAGTCCTCCTTGGGATATTCTAATGCGACCAAATTCCCAAAGCCCATTCGCAAGCTCTCCATGTCAAACGTTTCAATCTCTCGCTCCTGCCTTTCCAACAGAAACTTTATCCTCTCGCTGCGTTCCTTCTGGAGGGCGGCGAGCTCCTCTTCGATCTGAAAGAAGCACAGTCAGCAGCCCCGTAGCAGCGCACCACCACCCCGTGTAACCAGGTACCCCCTGCCCCGGCAGCCCACCCAAAAACGTACCTTCTGTTCAAGATGTGCCCTGCGCAGTGACACCCGTTGCTCCAGCTTCTGGAGTTCTCTTTCATGCTGTGCTTCTGTCTGCATCTTAATTTTGCTCTGGTAAGCATTGAGCAGCTCCATCTCCTGCTGGAGTTGCAGTCTCAGGGCTTGGCATTCTGCTTCTTGGGCCTCATCCAGCCGTAGCTGTAGGATCAGTGGGGAAAAAACAACATTCAGACCTCCACCAGTAACTTCTCTGCTCCGGCGCTAGTGCCACACTGCTCTTCCTTTGCAAAGCCGGGAGCCTCTGGTGTTTGCAGCAGAACGAGAAGCAGGAAGGGTTTCCTCAGCTGCTTCCCTGCTCAACAGCCTCAGAGAAGATCCAACTGTAAAAGCCCAGCGTGCAAGTGGCAGCAGGGGAAGGATGTGTGTTCCGCAGGACGTGTATTACAAGAGGGAACACGCCGCCTGACGCGTTATTTAAAATGGTTGTAAACACAACCGCATCGCTCACCATCCAGTGGCTAGGACGCGAACAGGCAGCGTGGTGCAAGGCCTGACGGCCCGACTGTACCCCACCTCCACGCACCTCGGGGAGGGGCCCCCTGCCCAGGGACAGGAGGTGCCGGACTCTGCACCTACCGCTTGTGAGGCCATCATCTCGTTGATGCTCTGCTCGTACTGCTCTGCCAGGATGGCGAGCTTCCTCGTCTGCTCGTCCTTCAGACTCTTCAAAATTGTCTTGTGCTCACTCTTTGGAGTTACTTCCAGCTGGTGATTCTTCAGTGCTTTGTACTGCTTAGTTTGCACTTTGCATGTGTCCTGGAACTGCTTTTTGATCTGCATTTCCATAGCCTGCCAAGGAAGGAACGATGTGAAGAGCATGAAGAGCTTTGGGAACGGAGAGGTTACAGTACACCCAAACAGGCGGGTTGGTGGGAGACCACCACAGTTCCCCTGCGCCACCTCCTGCCCTGGCCCCCAGGTGAGCAGGCTGTGTTCCACACACCCAGCCGTGCAACGAGCAGTGCTTCAGCTCTGACCCTGGGCCAGGAACAGGCGCCACTAAGCCCTCCTCAGCCCAGAGCATCTCCACCTCCTGCCCTGCTTCCTGCAGGTTGCCCAGCCCATCACTGTGCCGCCTGCCTCCCAAAAAGCATTTTCTTTTTCAAAGCCTCCACAAGCTGCCTCCCCAACCTCAGCCACGGAGACTGCGGATCTGAGAACTAGCGAGGGTGTGACGCAGTGAATAAAAGCAACGTGCCTTTTTGGATGTTCAGAGGATGGGAAATCTCCCATGGCAGCTCAGAGGTTTCTAATCAACCTGCAGCTGAACTGGGACAGAGTGCAATGTTCAGCACACCCATGTTCTCTCCCTCTGCTGACTTTGCAAGTGAGGAAGCATCACCCAACCCCTTCCCGTATCAAGGTTTATAGGCTGACACCAGCAAGGGCCTGAAGAAAGCACGGCTCATCAGCACCCAATTCTGTAAGACTTTGCTAAGGACTAGCCTATTTTTACTCGGCAGCCTAAATTAGCACGGCACTTCAAAAATCCTCAGTGAGCTCTTTGCTATAATAGCCCACCACTTTCTTACACCAGAGCAGCCCTGTGCAACGGAAAGGGATGCAAGGGAGAGCACACAGCGCTGGTGGAGAACAGTGGTTCTGCTGCACGGCGGAGGCAGCAGGCACACAGACCAGCCTGCCTGGCAGGACAGAGTTTGGAAGAGGAGGACGGAAAGTTTCCAGCACCTTCAGGTTCTTTGGTTGCTGCCGGAGTTCCATGAAGTGCTTCCTGTGCAGCTCCCGCTCTCGCCGCTTGTT